GCTCCTCTGTGTTTGGTATCAGGGACATTGCCAAAATGGGACCTCATTCGCTCGCCCGTGTCGTTGGCTGCTGCTTAGCCTGGTTGGGGCTGGTGGACGAATTGGGGTTTGTCCTCGGGGAACCAGACGGAGCTACCTCCCACAGAAGAAAGTGGCGAACCGCCCTCTCCACCCACCGGGCCGTCCAAGATGGGATCGGCCTCAGTTTGGTGGGGCGAGTGGAGTTTCCGCTTCTTGTTCGGGTGGAACACTTTCGCTATCTTCTCTACTCCAGAAGAAGCGGGATCTCTTCGAACCCAAGGCGGCTGGTTTCTCTACATCACCGACAAACTGGGACTGCGGTGCTTTGGGCATTATTGGCCCTTGGTCGGATGGACGGGACTTGGTCTCTTCGCCTTGGGGTGTCTAGTGGCTCTGGCCTGGGTGCCGAGGACCTGCGAGAGGTGGTGTGCCTGCTGTACCAGATGCTGCCGGCGCAACCGCCCACATCAGGGAGCTCCGGTCCTCGATGCCGCCCTTCATCGGCTTCCCATCACGCCATCACCTGCTGGCTTTCAGCAGGTGGCTTTGGTTGGTCCCAGTGGGGGGGCCCCGGTGGACACAGAGTACTTCCAACGACAAGTTCGAGGGCGCGGGATCGGCAGAAAGCCCCATGACTTGATCCTCCAGTTCCCTGCGGGAGCTGTCCGTCTTCAGCCCGACTGGAGCCAGCGGACTCGGATCGATAGGCATGGACATTTCATCCAACCAGGGCGAGTTCTTGGCGCCTCCGCCCGCCCTCTCCGCGAAGAGCTGGAAAGGTGCGAAACCCTTCACCTTTGCCGCGCTGGAGATTGCAACCAGCCTGGAGCTCTCCACTGCACCGCCTATGCTGCAGTTGATGCTGAGGCTTTGGTTGACCTGAGCGCGTACGGCAAGTTTGGTGGGTGGAGATGCCTCGTGCTATGTGGTCGTGGTCTCTCCCGGCTTCGTCGCGTTTTGCCGCTGCGGGTGTTTCCGCCCGACTTCACCTCGACGAATCGCTGAACAAGGAGTACTGAGGTCTTTGGACCCGGATTCTGAGTCTGAGGCAGAAGTGGCCCCAGACCCCTGCGAGGCTGTGCTCGTAGGACTAGAGTTGCAAGGGAAACCTCGAGCCCTGGCTCCTGATGGCTGTGAAGACCGCGCCGCGTCTGAACCCACAAGGCTTATGACCGAGGACGTTCACTTGTCTGATCTTGGGGGAAGGGAGACCGCGCGACTTTGCAATCACCACAGTCAGCTGTGTCTTCTTTCTTGTCAAGGTAGGAAGTGCAGCGTGGTTTCTTGCTTCGAGAAGATGCAGGGTGCTCATAAGGGGACTCCCCTCTGCAAGCGTCATTTGACGGAGATGGGCCGCTCTAGCAGCCCAGCTCCCAAAAAAGAGGGGCCGAACCCGAAACTCGAGGAGCCGATACTCAGCTCTGTCCGTCGATCCCTTTCGGTCGACTCGCATCGCAACTTTGGTGAACGTGCTGTGAGGTTCCAGGACCCTGCTGTCCAGATCTCTCCAAAGGGGGGTAATGAGTCAGCTGAGTTCGAGGCCCCGACCCGAGCTGAGCGAACCGCTCATCCACGGGCAGGGGCCCCTGCTCTAGTTCGTATCCGTCCTTTCTTTGGCAAAGGGGCAACCTCGGCCTGGTACATCTTCATGGGAGTTGTGGAGATCTCACCGGACAGCAGACGTAGCGAAAGAGGAGTTCTGAGGGTCCCCTCGCTGGACCTCCGAGTCAGTCTACCCTGGCATTGTCTTGGTGATCCGCCAAAAACCGATTCCGCTGGACGTTATCCTCGCAGCTGGTTGCAGGAGTTCCTCCACTCAGTTCCTAAGGACCTGGAAGAAAGGGGGGTGTCCATTCAGGCGACTCTCCTAGCTCCCTCCTCCTCTTCGTGGGGTTACGAATGGGAAGGCCGAGGGGTCGTGGCGCAGGACGCTCCGCCCTTCAGCATCAAGCCGGATTGCTTACGCCAGGTCACCAGTGTGCCCGAGATCACACTGCTTCCTCACGAAGATTGTCGAATGTTGCGCGCCGAAGGCGAAGGGAATCCACTGGCCTCCGCCGGTCTTTTCGGTCTCTACTGGGCTACTAGGCAGCAAAGCAGTTGATTCTCTGGAAGCTGAGGTCGAACCGACCCTCCTGCTTGACGCATACCGAACTGCTAAGGAGCAGGTTTCGTCCAATGGGGAGGCGATAGCCTTGGTTGCTGGCACTTTCGGTCTCAGCCCAGAGAAGGTACAACTTGAGAAGGTACAACTTGGGTTGCTCGATACTCTCCCAAACCCAGAGGCCCCAGCCACGTCCCAAGATGTTGACCCGCTTGCCTGGGGTCCGAAGACACTGGGGCAGCTTGGCGAGACCTTGGGCGTTCCGCCCCTCCCGCCTCCTCCGCTCCCTCCTCAACTTGGCAACCTGGCACCGGACTTGGTAGGTCCGCAAGGTAACCTCCCTCGCAACCCGCTGCTCGCCCCAGCACCCTCTTCCGGAGCTCCCAGCCTTTTCCCGAAGCCCACGGTGAATCACAATGATTCTGATAAGGCACTGGACTTAGGTCTCAGAGGGACGGAGGCCATGAATCTGGGGAGAGGGTTGCTAAGGAAAGCTCTGATTGCGTTACCGCACGTACGGAACAAGTGGAAGCCTGGGGCCCTCCTACTGAGCATAAGATCGAGGGTCGGGTCAAAGCGCCCTCCACTTTTCTGACTTGGCTGCGCTATGCTGAGAACGCTGTGAAGGTCTTTGGCAGTGCTTATGGTCTCGAGCATGTCCAGGAACGGATGAAGTTCCTGAAGGCTTTGCAGGAAGCCCATGAGGAAGACGAGCATGCCTTTCCTTTCAAGTACTGCATGGAACTCTACGAGGAGCTCTCGGCCGTCTAGTGCGAAGAGATCCGCGAGAGGAGGAGGCAACTGTGCGCGAAACTGGGAACCGAGAATCCTCGACTCGAAGACCTGACCTGATGGGAACCCCAATTTCCAATTCCCACGAGTATGGGATCTTAGTGACCCCTCCGGGTACTACCAGCGCGTGATTCTGCCTCGGCAGGACCGTGCCATGGCTAGATTGCTTAATAAGCAGTTGCATGACCATGTCACCCGGGATAGGCGGCCTGACCAAAGGAAGACTGCAGAGGACCGAGAGGGAATGACCGGCGCACCGCCCGACTCGGATGAAGGGAAGTCCGGGAGGGCACCCCGTTTAGCCCTCAAGACAGAGGATCCGAAGACGGGAGGGGTTGGTGATAAGGCTTATCCTGCTGGGAAGCGTCTCACCCCCACCGAAGTGAAGAGGTCTATCACCCACGCTCCGGTTTGCCAGAAGTCCAAGAAGCCTATATTTGCTGGGACGCAGCGTGCCACATCGGTTGCCAGCGCTCTGATTGTCCTCATGCCCACGAACCTCTGCCCGCCATGAGTAAACTTGACTATTCAGTGGCGACGCAAGTTGTCAGGAGAGGGGGGCGAAAAAAACGGGGCGAAGATCAACCCAAAGGACGTGGATGGGCGAGTCGCACAGCTAAGGGCCCAGGCAAAAGAGGACCACGACTCGAAAGTTGAACCCCGCGCTACCGCCCAGGGCAAGGCCAAGGCGAAGGTCAAGGCCAAAGCCAAAGAAAAGGCCGGATGGGCCGTTCCTGAGGATTACCAAGGACCGGTGACTCAACTCGAGGAGGAATTAGGTGACCTTGCTCAGGGCCCTGATCATTCCTGGCACAATGCCTTCCGAAAGGATGCTGAGCCGGTTGCAATGCCCGGGTCGGCTGAAGAAACGAAGGCTAGGCTCAAAGTCTACGATCTGGTGAAAACGGAAGGGCTGCTCGATTCGCTGCAGGGATTTAGCGATCATCTGAAGTCCCATGTGTCCTCTCATCTTGTGAACTCTAGGGTCCGAAAGGAGCACACGACAGTCGAGCAAATCCTGCTGAACGCGGTAGATTATGGACACCCGTAGCTCTCTGAAGAGGCCCAGGCTTGCTTGGATAAGATGGGGCACAAAGCCGGCCTGGACTCCTCTGACAGTGAGGCCCGATTTGATCCAGTTGTCTGAGACGGGACAATTGGACAGACGAGGCGGCTAGCCTTCACCCACCCGATGTGGGAGGAGGTTCCAACGCTGGAGGTGGTGGACTTGCAGGACAAACTTCCTCTGGGAGAGGATTTGGGTCACCTTCTTGGGTCGGAATCCGAAGGAGGAGACTCGGCAGTGCCTTTGTTTGCATGTTGCTAGAGCGTTCTGCTGTGGCGCCACCGCCCAAGAGCAAGCCACGCAGTTGCGTCTGGAGCTATGGCAAGCAGGGAGTGCAGCATTTGAATACCTCGGGGACGCCGCGACCCACATCTCATCAGCTGAGGCATTTGTCAGGCATAACGCCCATGACTGTATTTATGCACACCACGAGAAAGATTTCAGAGTGTTGCAACTGTTTGGGCCCCAGTTTATGAGAGGCAAACTCTTGTATGTGGTTCGGCTTTCTCATCGAGGGGTTCTTGAGCTTGACATTGTGCGCGGAGAAGGTGCAGTCAGAGCCTCGGTCACGGACCTCAAGGCGCTTGAACAGGCTGCCGAGGGGGCAGCTCGCGTTATACGCGATCTGACCGTTGGGGGATGGGGAGCCTTTCTGGAGGAAAAGCAAAATGATGGGGAGATCGTCCCCTCTAGGCCACACCCTTGTTATCGGTGCAGACGGCCCCAGACCCCCTGCAAAGCAGGAGAGCGGGACGGCCCGCCCCGCTCTGTTTGGCACACCGCCCTTCCAAAGATCTGGCCATGTTCATGTGTGGGCCTGCCCTGAATCCTTGGAGGCGTGGACACAGCCAACAGCCACACCTCTTACGGTGGATGAGATAGACCAAATGTCGGCGCCGGCTCTTGCAGCAGGGGGAGAGGTCACGTTGAGCTTCTTAGACCTGTCAGGGGCGCCCAATTTGGCAGGCTGGGAAGAGGTAACGGACGCATTCATTGCTAAAGCTTTGGAGGCCGGCCGTCAGTACGTGGTGTGCTTGGCACTCCAGCATCAGCATCTCCAAAAGCGTTGGCTTGGCAGGGTTGGTCGGGTCGATCCCGAGGCAGGAATTATCACTTTCCCCAAGCTGGGGCAGCGGCCAATTGCCTGGTTGGTGAGTTCCGCCCTGCGCGCCTGTAGTGGGGAGCTCCGGGCGGTAGCTAAGGAGCTTCCAGATGAGTCTCTGCGTGGAAGTCAGCACCTGGTGGAGTGGCTCTGGTCGCCGTCGAGTCGGGTGATACCGCCCTCGGCTCCTCCCACCCGCCCGCTCAAGGGGGGGGCGGGGCAGGTCGCTCCCAAAAATCAGGAGGACAAGGCAGGCGGGTCGGTCGACGAAAAAGCTGCCGGCTACCTACCTTTCTGCCAGGAACCTTTCTCGCCATAACCCGCAGTCAAAGCCGGGGGTTTAGGCGCCGCTCTGTTTAAGGAAGCTGGAGGCATTGAGGAAGCCGTCAAGTGCGAGGGTACAAAGGCTAGGAGATCATTTCAAGACAGCCAAGGAAGTCAAGGAAGGCGGATTCAAAGGCCTATATCCGCGGCTCATGCGGACTATCTGAAGAAGATGGCCAACGAAGGTGTGCCCAGCAGGCGTGAACAGCCCTTGGTCAGAGAAGACGCCAAGAACCACGGCTCGGTATACGGGTATGAGGAAGAGCTACTCCAGAAAACCTGGAAGGACGCGGCATACGGAGCGGCTCTGTTCATCGACCCCAACGACCCGGTGGTGGAGGAGCTGCTCAAGGAAGCCCGTGTGGCAGAGAGCCCTCTCGGCCGGGTGCCTAAGCAGAATCCGGACCGCACCATTTCGGCAGAGGGCCGGCCCATCAATGACATGCGCCGCCAGAATGAGGCGGGGTCCAAGTACAATCACCCACCGGCGCCACAGCCCCGACATCATGCAGTAGCTAGGCAAGCACTCTGGCGGCGAGCGCGGCACCCAGGCATCCCTCAAAAAAGGTGCGCGAAGAGAGATGTCCCTCGAGCTTTTAAGTGGCATTTTCTCCGCCCACGGGACGTCCCGGAATTTGCTGTCAGGCTGGCGGGTCTCATCATCCTTAGCCTGGCCCCCAAAATTCGTAGCCTGGAGCTCTGCCGCCCGAAGTCACCACGGGGCGTACCGCCCTAGCAATCCTGCGTTTGACGATGTCGTGCCCATTGAGTCAAAGTGGCTCATGGATGACGGGGTGGCGGTGGAACCCATGGTGGGCACCCGCATCCAGCAATCCCTCGACCTCCTGGATTCCACGATGAAATTGGTTTGGGGCCCCGAAGGGGTGAACGTTGAAAAGATGGCTGAAGAAGGCGAACCTTCCACTTCGCAGCTGTTGTGGGGCTTGCACATGGACTTCGACGATCTGACAGTCACTCTGCCGGAGCCAAAGAGGATCAAGGCCAAGTATCTTCTGAACGAGCCGGCCCTAGCTCGCGGGAACAAACAGCTCCCGCTAGGTCTCCTGCAGGAGGTGATCGGATGCGCACAGTACTGGTCCGTGGTCTGCCCGGAGCTGGTGCCACACTTACCATCCTTGTACCATTTGCTCAAGGGGAATCTTCAAGGCACACGGAAGTCAGCTCAGGCCAGGAAGCAGGACACCTATCTCCAAGTGGAGGCGGCCTCCGAAAGCGAAGCAGATCGTCGTTGGGAAGACTTCTGGGATGCGCTCGATTTTGTCCGTCTTCAGCTAGAGTCTCCTCTCACGACTAGTTTCTCAGCTGCATTTGAGAAGCTGCTCCCACTTCGCGAGAGGCTAGCGTTACCAGGCGTGACCGCCCGAACGCGGATCACCGGGGGCGATGCTACCTTAGGCCGGATTGGTGCCTTGCGGAAGGATAGAGCGTTCCATGCTTCCGAGGCTGGGCCCTACGCGGAGACCCTACGAAGGCTAGCCGACGCTGAGGATGAGCTCGAGATCATTTCCATTATGGAATTGCTGGCGTTTGTGGCGTTAGCTTGCGAAAGAGGAGACCAATGGCGCGGTGAGCTGGTCTTGTACGTGACGGACAACGCCAACGTGCGCTCTTGGCTCTTCAAAAGAAGACCTAGCAACCGCATCGCCGGCCTCTTGATTCGGCTGGTTCAACGCTTGGAAGCAGAAAGAGGTTTCTCCGTCCACCCGATCTATATCCGGACATACAGGAACCATCTGGCCGATTGGCGGAGTCGAGAGGATCTTCAGCAAGCCAGCCAGGAATTAGAAAGGAAAGGTTGGGTGAACGCCTCTCGCCCTTTCCCCTGGGAAACTTTCCTGAGAGATGCAGCCCGGCACTCGTTGGTGATGCCACTCGCGGGGGACCCCCTGGCGAAGACCGCCCGTCAGCTCACTCATCTGGGCGATTCACCGGGTCGAACGTTGAGGGCCCTTTGCATCCGAGAGGCTTGGAGGTACTTCACCGCAACGCTGATCCCGAGCTAACTAGTTGTGGCCTCGCCCTTAAGCGTTTCCGCGCGTATCAGCCTGGGCCTCAGCCTTTCGGTTGGTTCACCTTGTCCCAGGACCCCAAGGGAGAGGAGAGAGCCTACCTCTTGAGATTGCTCAAGAAAGAGAAGAGATGGAGCCGGCTGCTGGTCGACGCGCCCCGACATTTGGACGGGGACGCTTTCGCCAAGCAGCTCGAGGTTTTCTTCGTGGGAGTTCGCCGGGCCGGGTACTTAAGCAGCCATTTGGGCGCCCTCTCCGCCCGCAGGAGGCAAGTTATTTGGTGCTGGCGGGAAGGCGAGCCTGAGCCTCCCGGTTCCTTGGAAAACCTTAAGGTCACTCCTCCGCCCGCTTTGCAGCTTCTCCCGTTAGGAACCGGTGCTGCCGAAGCAGCGGTGATTCTGCCAGGAACCTTTGTCCAAGAGCCCAATATTGTGACCACTGGTGACCCGCGGTTGCCTCACGCATGTGGGCATCTCAAGGGCAAAGGCTTGCCCCCAAAGTGCATTGTGCACCGTGTCACCGGCCCAGCCTGCGCGTTCGTAGGACCCATGAAGGACTTCAGGGGCCCCGGAGGCACACTGGTCGCTGTGCCTCAAGGAGTTCGACCCCTTGCACCCGGCGAGGTCGCAAGGGCCCAAGGTCTCTCCCCTTCTCAGTGGCAGGCCTTGCAGGAGCGTGTCGGTGCCTTCGTGACTTGGCTCGCGAGCCTGGCTGGCAGGTTGCAGCCACCTTGTTGGCTGTGTCTGGGGAAATGAACCATGGTCTGGGCTCCCCCTTGCAGAGTCCTGGGATGAGGCTGAACTTTTCCGGAACCCCATAGAAAAATGGACGGCGACCGCCTTGGGATCCGAATCTGCCGTTGACCCGGGGGCCCCCCACCCGAAGTGATGGAGCCTACCGAGCGGGCAACTCGTTGGGCAGACCTTGGCGACACCGCCCCGGAAGAGCCTGCTGAGGAGGAAGCGCCGATGATGCAGAAAACGACCTTGGCGACGAGCTCAACGATGAGGAAAAGGCCGAGGTCCGCCGCATCGAAAAAGAGTGCACTGACCTCGAGAAGCAGCTCTGCGGGTTGTCGGCCACCCAGCAGAGGACTTTCCTTGAACGCCTCGCCGACAACAGTGCCCCGGTGGTCGGCGGACACTCTGAAGCGGACCGCTCGGCTTCGAGATCGTGGTCAGGCGGTCCCCACACAAGCGATCCGCGCCAGCCAGGCTACCGCGGACAAGGACCCGAAGTACCACGTGGACCGAGCTGAAGTGGGGCATGTCGTCGCCTTCCAACGGCACCGATCGAGGCTCCGAGCCATTCAACACCAGCTCCACCGCGGGTCTGTGGCGCCACAGCCGAGGATCGTCATCGAAAGGGCGCCTGGGGCGTTGCCGCCGATGATGTCCTTAGGGCGGGAACACAGACTTCGCCTTCTTCGACGCCTACATGAGTTCGAACGAGCAGGTGTTGAATGGACCCAGGAGGAGATCGAGGCCTCTTTGACCATGGAGCAGTTCCTGGACTACATCGAGTAGCGTGAGCAAGAGAAGGCCGACCGTGTGGCTTCGACAACAGGCGCGAAAGCAGCTGGACCAGTGATTGGGGGTGGAACCGCCCCGGAGACACCTCCACCTGCCGAACCAGCTGTTGAAGTGCCACATGGCGGTACCGCCCCGGAAACACCTCTTCCAACCGAGCCAGAGGTGATCCCGGAGACACCAGCTCCGAAGCTCGAGCCGACTCCAAAGAGGTTTCCCTCGGAAGCTTTCGGCAGCCGGTCAAAGGCAGCCAGCGGCCCACTGCCACGCTCAACTCCAGCGGCTACTACGACCTCACCTCCGACTACCACGGCCCATGATCCCGCCCCACCCAGCGATTCTCATGAAGCACGAACAACGAGCTCTACTGAGATCCGAGGACTGCTGAGGTGGTGGCCCGAGGCGAATGCACGCCCCCTAGTTCCGAAGGAACTAGAGGCGATCCGCCCAGATTTTTGGAATTGAGCTGTAAAGCTCTTAGCCCAAGCGGCGGGACTCGATAAGAGCACCCACAAGACCTTGTGCCGTTTCCTGGAAAAGTTGTGATGCGAGCCATGTGCTTTTATCTGATCGGCTTTCGGGTTTCGTAGCACCCACCAAAGAGAGACACTGTGATTGGCCGGTTTGTTTGGTGTGCTTGTTTGGTTTGTTTGTGTTTAGCAGCGGAGGCAATGCCCGAAGCAGGCGATCCGCCATCTTTGATGGCGATCCGCCGGGCTTTTAACAGACAGCCTGGTGACTGCTTCGCACTCTACCGCCCGTCGCAACAAAAAGGAAGTGCTCTCTCTCTTTGGTGCATGCCCCTTTTGGAACAGTAGAGTGCGAGCTAGCAGAACTTGCTAGTTAGGCATAACATAGAGTTCTGTGAGTGAGCTGATCGAATGGTTGGCTCAAGCTTTCAGCTCCTCTGTGTTTGGTATCAGGGACTTTGCC